CGACCCCTCCTTGGGTTTCCAAGGCGGTATCTCTATGGAAGTAGATTGCCCCATCTTCCTTCTGAGGAGTGGCTGATGGGTTTGAACCACCAGCCTTCTGGTTAGCAGTCAAGTGCCTTAGGCAATATGCTATTTTTGTAGAATAGTCTGGTGAATATGAACTCTTTCATGTCTGTTTGGAAATATTTTAACTTCACCTTCATTGTTGAAGGACATAACATTATTGATTGACAGTTGTTTTTTCTTCTTTTCTTTTTTTTTTTTAATCTCAACATTTATATATTCATTCAATTTTCAGTCCTCAATGTTTTTGAGGAGAAATTGGTGCTTAATTTTATTGATGATCCTTTATATGTGACTATTTGGTTCTCTCTTTTTAATTTCAAGATTTTCTTTTTTATCTTTACTGTTTGACAGTCTGATTATGATTTCTCTAAGTGTATATCTCTTTGGGTTTACCCCTATTTGAATTCTTTGAAAATACTGGATTTGTGCATTCATGTCCATCATCAGATATGGGGAATTTTCTGTCATTATTTCTTCAAATATTCTTTCTGTCACTTACTCTCTCTTACCTCCTTCTGGAAATTACCATGATGCAGATATTATTGCTCTTGATGTTTTCTCACAGTTACATTAAACTGTGTTCAGCAGTCTTGAGCTTTTTTGTCTTGGTGATCTTCCTCCTCTGTAATTTCAACTATTGCATCTTTTAATTCACTGAATCTTTCTTTTTCCTGATCAAATGTATTGTTAATTACTTCCATTGTGTAGCTCATTTCAGTTATTGTCTACTTCAGTTACAATATTTCTATTTTATTTCTTGTTACAGGATCTCTTTTGTAAAACCTTTTCTTTTCATGCATTGTTTTCCTTATTACTTTTGTATTTTTCCTGTTTTCTTGAGTATAGTTAACATTGTTGTAATACAATCTCCCTTCCTGTTCATAACATGAGCTTCTTTATTTACAATTTCTCTTTGTGTTATTAATTTGAGTGGGTCTTCATTTCTCTTATCTTTGTGTGTAACAATTGAGAATCTCTGTTAGGGAATTGGATGTTATAGTGTGCTAACTTTCTCATTTCTCCCCACTACTTGGTGTTTTTGCCCACACTATTTTCTGCAAGAAACTCTTAGTTGGGGAGAGCCTTCAGCTCTTGCTATTTCCTCTCTCTATCTCTCTCTCTATAAATGTATGCTTATCTAGCTCTTTTTCTCTCCCTGTTTTCACTAGAACATGATAGTTTAAGATCTCAGTATTAAACCTTCAGTGCCTCCTAAACATACCAGAGAAAATGAGATAAATGCATCTACTTAGGAGAGATATCACAATCTAATCAATCTTCACACAGGTGGTATAGTAACTCTCTGTGTGGTATCATTCACTCCATTACCTTCTATATTTCTGCAACCATGTTTTCAGTCTCATATACCCATTGAGCTCCCTGCAAAAGTAAACATTGTCCTGAGGTTTTGCCAAATGCTTCCATCCCTGCTTGTTGGGAGATCTGGTGGCATAGTGCCTAAAGTATTTGCTAAACAGAAGGCTATCAGAAGTTAAAACCCACCAGCCACTCCTCAGAAGGAAGATTGGGCAATCTACTTCCATAGTGATACTGCCTTGGAAACCTGAGGAGGGGTTACTAAGAGTTGTATCTGACCCCATGGCAGTGAGTTTGGTTTTTTAGCTTTTCTATCCCTGCTCTGATATGGCCATTTATATTTGAGCCATCATTTAGAGGATTCCCTCCACAGACCAACTTCTGAGATTTTTCTTCTTAATTTCATAGTCTAACAACTCTGTGTTGGTTGGAGGGTCCATCTCACCTCAAGTAGTTCTCTTCCTAACTGCACTGCAGGGAATTTACTGTAGGAATTATTTTCAGCCCATCAGTGAACAGTTTTGAGGTGGGAAAGGGATAGGTTTGTTCTTAAAAAACCCACAGCAATGTCTGCCTTCTTGATGTCAGAGCCCCAGCAGTAATATATTGGCCTCATTGGTAGTAAGTGTGGTATGTTGGTAGGCTCTACTCAAGACACCCAGTTCTTTGGTCACAGTAGTTCTTAATGCTGACAGGAGAGGGAAAGACAGATCTGAACTGACACTAATGTGATTTTTCCTGTTGATTTTGGAGGCCAGGGTTATGTGGTATCCCCTATGTGCAGCATGCAGAGTTCTGGTTGTAGAGTCATGCTCCACTGAAGGGATGCTTCTTTAGTATTTTACAATAGCCTGGTGGCTAACAATTACTGAGTAGGGGGGAGGTTTAAAGTCAAAAACTGAACTCACTTCCAGAGTGTATTCTGACTCACAGCAAAACCCACTGAGTTTCCAATGCTGTAAATCTTTAAGGAAGCAGACTGACACATCTTTTTTCCATGGAGTGGCTGGTGGATTCAAAGCACTGGGCTTTTGGTTGGCAGCCAAATGTCTTAACCACTACACCACCAAAGATCCTTATCAGAACACTAAAAACAAAAAACAAAAAACCACAACAACAACAAAACTCACTGCCATCAAGTTGAATCAATACATAGCAATCCCTCCTTGGGTTTCTGAGGCATTATCTCTACAGAAGTAGATTGCTCAATCTTCCTTCTGAGGAGCAACTGGTGGGTTTGAACTGCCAGCCTTCTGATTAGCTGTCAAATTCCTTAGGCACTAATCATGATTGTCTGCCTTGTTGCTATCAGAGGTGCACTGGACATATGTCAGTTATGTGGGCTTCATTCAAAGCACCTTATTTGTGGCTCACAGCAGCTTTGGTCAGCAGTCCCCAGGGTCAACTTGAGGATGGGGTGGACAGACAGACCCAAACTGATTTGAAGGAAAATTTGTCCTGCTGATTTTAGAGGCCTGGTGTGTGCAGACAGTCAGGGAAGCCTATGGGAACAAACTCTATTGCAGGGGACCTTCTGTAGCAATTCAAAGTAATCTGACAGTGGACAGTCACTGAATGGCAGGGGAGCTGGTACATCCTGAGGTCATTCTTGTTGCTATAAGAGGCCCTTTGGTAGAACGTTGGCTGTGATTTCAGTTTCCATTCAAATAACCCATTTCTTGACTCAGAAACCTCACTCATCAGTTCTCTGAACCAACCATGTGGAGGGACAGACAGAGCAACACTGACCTCTGGAGAGATCTGCCTCTTTGGTTTTGGAGGCCTGAGCTATGAGGAATACAGGTAGGCAGGTTCCTGGCTGTGAGAACAGACTGTATTTCTGGGATTTTCTGTAGCAGTTTGCAGCAGTCTGCTAGCCAACAGCTTCAAATGCTGTCAGACACCCATGAAGTGCTTTGATGGGCCCCCATGGAGGTTTCCTTTGCTGGTTTTAAATGAGAAGCTTGGGGTTGTGTGCTTTCTCACAAGCAGGAGGTATGTTCCCTAAGGAAGTATTCTCTTTCTCTGGGGTTATTTCTCTAGTTCACATCAATCAATGGTCCACATGGATAGAGAGATGGGCAGGGACAGTGAGAGAAGTGATTTCCCTACCTATGTGGCTCTTCATTCACTCATTTATGGTGGCCCATCTACAGTCCCTTTCAGTTTTCCCCTGATCTCCTATTTCAAGACCCTTAAGGCTGAGGAACGTGTTCTTCATGTATTTGTGGAGGAGGGGGAAAAAAATTATAATTTTCCCATAATCCCAAAATGCTGATTGAATTTGTTTTTCAATTTAAAAGTTCTATTTTAATTAGAGCTATTAGAATTCAATTTTGAAACACAAGCAAAGCTCATTTAACTTCATATATGAACATAAACTTTATATCAAGTCTCTGATTAAGAAGTCCAGATGGAGTCAGAACGAAGATTAAGAAGAAAGGAGGGAAATGGGTAGTAAATAGAATAAGGTGAGGGTTCTTTCACAAGCGATAATAACTCAAGGAAGTTGGGATTCTAACCACCTTCTTGAATATTCATCTGAGCAAATAAATTTCTTTCATGATTTCTTCTATACTAGTCATAGCGCGACTCCTCCTTGGGTTTCCGAGGTGGTATCTCTATGGAAGCAGATTGTCCAATCTTCCTTCTGAGGAGTGACTGGTGGTTTGAACCACCAGCCATCTGGTTATCAGTCAAATGCCTTAGGGACTACACCACTGGAATTCCCAAGAAACAACAAGCTGATGAACATAATATTAATTTTAAGGTGTTTGATTTGCAACCTGATATATACTGTTGTTGTTGTTGTTGTTGTTATGTGCCATCGAGTCAGACCCGACTCACAGCGAATTAGGGGAAGTTAAGTCTGGTGATATGTACAAAATAATTTTGTTGGTTTTCTTTGCTTCAGAAATAAAAGAATTTAATTAATATTATCTAAATATCTAATGTTCATAAGGAAGGTCTTTGTATTTTAGTTAAAGACAAAATCATGAATACAAAACCACTTTTATTTATAACCTTATGATCTATGAAATTAAATGAAACTGTTACCTCCATGGAGCTATAGTGTGGATTAGCATTCAATCCAGATAGTTTTTATGGCTGAGTAGGTTTTGCTTCATGAATCTAACCTGCAAAACTTGGAAAAAATATGTCCTGGTCTCCTTACTAAAGATACAACTACAGATATGACTAATCAGTGGCTTACACCTGTCAACTATGGTTTAGAGTGCTCTATAAAGAGAAAGACCAGTCAATCTCCATTCCAGGATTGTGTTAGGTTCTGAAAACTTCACAGTGAACTACTTCTAAGGTTAAGCCATTAACTTTACAAATAACATTTAAAATGGTCAATTATATTGGAATGAGAGATAAAATACAAGACATTTACTACAAATTTCATGATGCCAACTGTTCCAACACAGAGAAAAGCACCTTAAGGAACATAAATATGAGGAGAGGATTAGGTAGCTATGTGAACAGAAGTACTACATGCATGTGAGGAAGTATTGTTCTAAGAAGATAACACATTGGGGACCAGTAACCAAAAGGGAGAATAAGAAAAAGGGAAGGAAAGGAAAGAAGGAAGAAGAAGAGGTAGATTGTCATGCTTAAATTTTCCCATTTACAACTTTTCTCACTCTCATCACTGATGGCATTATGCTCCTCAGGGTAATAACGACGTCTTTGTTCCGGAGGCTATAAATTAGGGGGTTCAGCACAGGACTGATAATGGTATAAAAGGCAGAGACACTCATGTCTTGTTCACCTGTGTGATAGGATCTGGGGAGCATGTAGTTGTAGGTGGCAGCACCGAAAAAGGGCAGCACTACCATCATGTGGGAGGAGCAGGTGGCAAGTGCCTTCTTACGACCCTCGGCTGAATTCATCCTGTGAATGAGGTGTAGAATGAGGACATAGGAGGTGGCGATAATAGACATGGGAATGAGAAGCATAAGGACACAACACAGGTACATGAGTTTCTCATAGAGATAAACGTCAGAGCAGGAAAGCTTCATCAAGGCGGGAGACTCACAGAGGAAGTTAAGGATTTTCCTGGACTGACAATAGGGGAAGCTCATGGTAATGGGGGTAAAAACAAGACCTTCAAGTATGCCCAATAACCAGCAAACAGACACAAGGAGCTTGCAGACTTTTGATGTCATGAGCAGTGGGTAATGGAGAGGTCTGCAAATGGCAACATATCGGTCATAGGCCATGGCAGCCAGGAGGCAAACTTCTGCTGCAGAGAGGGTCAGATGAAAGAACATCTGGATCCCACAGCCTAAAGGAGAAATTGTATTATCTCCGATGATCTGGTCCACAAGCATCTTAGGCACTGTCACACATATGTACACAAGGTCCATAAGTGAGAGCTGGCTTATGAAGAAGTACATGGGGTTGTGGAGGCGAGAGTCCAAGAGGATCAGGAAAATGAGAAGACTATTCCCAGTTAGGGCTATCAAGAAAAAGATGAAGATCAAGGTGTATAGGAAGACTGAATGCTTAGTTTGATCAAATAATCCCATGAGGGTGAAATAGATGCTTGATGTTTGATTCTTAAAAGTTTGATTCCCTGAGTACATGGTTTAGTTTACCGTGTTCACCTAGAAAAGAAAATAAATATCATTTTGTTGTTGTTATGAGTGTATATATACCCAAAGATTGACATTTCAACAATTTTACATATACAGCTTAGTGACACTAATTACATTCATCACATTGTGCAACCATCACCACTGTAGGTACCATTGTTTTTATATCTTCCAGACATACATACATGGCCTTCCTAACCTTTTTTCCAGTATCATCCTTCAAGATGTGTGTGTGTATATATGTGTGTGTGTATATATATATATATATATATATATATATATATATATATATAT